TTTGTTTGTAGAAAGAGCAGAAAGACATTCTGGGTATGTTGATCGAAGTGGTGTTCGATTACATGTTGATCGATCAGGTTATCGATAAACTGAATGAAAGCTTTTCGAATAAGTTCAACAATATTATCGATCAAGTGTTGGATTATTGACTTTAAGAATGATCATAGTAAACGGAAATCGTTCCATGATCGAACAAGTGATCGAACACTTGTTGATCGAATAGATTATCGATAATTCAAATGTTATTGAAATCAAACTTTAGTCATTGATGATCGAACAGATTATCGATAAAAGGATGATGGATAATGTTATCGATAAACCATGAGCATGAATATATTCAGTGAAAGACACAGACTATCTGAAATGATCGAACAGGTGATCGATTAATGAATATTCGAATAGGTGATCGATAAAGTGAGAGAAGAAATTTAATCCTGTAAGGTAAAGAAACTGATTATCAATCACGTTTTGTGAAAACATGAGTTTAAGGAAATCGGATGATCGATCATATTATCGAAAAGTCAATGATCGATTAGGTGATCGAAAATGGTTCAACATAAGTTAATGCGAATATAGCAATCCTTAGACTCTTTATCGATCATGTTATGTGAAAAGATATTATGCAAACAAGTTAAATTATCGATAATGTTATCGATAATTTGGTTGCAGAAAAACTAAATATGAGTGGATAAAGACATTGATTATCGATCATGTGATCGATAATTTTCTGATCGATAAGGTTATCGATCCAGCAGTTTAAGATTATTACCTGCATTCAGAGTTAGAGCATAATGATCGATCATGTGATCGATAAACAAGTGATCGAAAATATGATCGATAAATGATAACAGAATAATGTGCAGAACGAGTAGAGTGTGTTACCTCTTATCGAAGTCGTTATTGATAACTGATTTATCGATCATGTGATCGATAAATACACTTCAGATTTGGTTCTCTTTATCTGTTACCTGTTTGTTTTTCTGATGTTATCGATTAAGTGATCGATAATTAACTGTAACCTTATGTGATTTTCATGTTAGCGATAATCGATCATTTTATCGATCAACAACTTATCGGATAGTTCTTCGATCAAAACACTTACTACAAAACTGATTTATACCTGAGCAGTTATCTGAAAACTTAGCAATAAACGATTGATCGATCACATGATCGATCAACATACTTAACTCAATTAATCTGACTTTGTTATCATCAAAACTATAATCCTAACAGTTCCCAATCTGTTCTATCTTGACTAGATGTTTTAAAAATGACCGTCCAGTCCCTGCTCAAGTTTCAATTCAAAAGTTATTCTGTCTATCTCTCTACTATACTGCTTAGCCCTTGCTCTACTTTATACTCCCTATTTTGAGGGTTAAAGTTAATAGGATGTGACAGTCTTCTCCTTGTTGTTGTTGCTGTCTTAAGAGGAAGGAAATCACTACTATCATAAACAGAAGCCTCCTTCAAGATGCTAGCATTGCTCTAGTCAATACTGCCAAACTTGTTCTCTCTTGTAAAGTCCAAGAATTAGCCTAATTTGAGAAGGTTATCAGGCTTTTTTTAGCAGAAGTCCCAGAAAGGTTATCGGAAGTAGGAATGGTCTTTAGGGACTAAACTGCAAAGTGAAAGTTTTTAGGAGCTAAGGCAAGAATAAAGTTAGACACTCCAGTGAAACCTCAAGAGCTGAATATGAAAAATTAAAATGATTGGGGGCCAAAAGTCATGTTAGCAATCTTAATGAGATGATTGTTGTTAAGCTTGAGTAGGGACAAAATCGTAATTATAAAAAATTTTAGGTTTATATAGGTAATGATGGAAAATATGCCCAAAAACTTCAGAAAAATTCTAAAAAATGGGAAATGATATTTTAAGGCTTATTTGGGGTTTAAAATGATGAAAATATCTCAAAAAAGTGAATTTATGTTATTTTTAGAATTTTAGCTAATTAAGTGATGTTTAGCCAAATCCAATTATTAAAAATATAAGGAGGCCTCAAACAATTGAAGAAAAATGGTGATTAATTACTTGAGGAATTATGTGAAGTTATAAAAATGATTCCATCCCTAAAATGTGAAGAGGTTGCTTTAAAAATTTTTAAAGTCTAGTTAGGTTAAAAGAGGCTATTTCTAGGAAATTCAAAAAGTGCTACTATCTAGTTGAGTTTTGGCCTAAGAAAAATCAAAGAACTTTTTCACAATAAAAGAGAATTTATGGAGCAAAGGGATACATTTTTAGACTCAGAAAATATCAAAAAGTAATTGGTCAAAGTTTTATTATTGCAAAATAATTTGAGGTTTTTGAAAAGGAGGACAAATCTTTAAATGTCAATTCTCTTGGATTCTCTTAATTATTATGCAATGTGAGCTCATAAATGAGGAGAGATTTTTTTGAGCTACAATACAAAAGTGATAGGATAATTATCTGAGTCGCCTTGATGACCAGACTCAAAAATTTACCCGATATGTTAGGGTTTTTGTGGTATAAACTAATATAATAAGATGGAGCATGAGAGAGGTTAATTCTTTTCCCTTCTTTCTCCCTATTTTGGCACCATTTATTGTGCTCTTATTGGTGAAAATTCTTCAAGAAGGAGTATGGGTAAAAACATGTGATAAAATTGGACAAATATAATGTTATGGACTTTAAATGGCATTGCAATATAGTTATGCAATTCAAACCAATTTCCAATGAAGCTAAGAGACACTTGTGAAACTTGGAATGATGACACCTCACCATGTAATTTCAACCAAGTTTGAGGGAAAAAGCTTAAACTTGATGAAACATCCTTCCTTTCAACCCCTTTAATATGTGTTCAGAAGCGTTACGATTCAAGCAAATCATGAATTAGTCCCGTAAATTAAAAACTTCAATTTACTTTATCGGGTTACTATTAACTGGTAATTCTGGATTTTTGGTCTAATTTTAAAAATTCATAACTAATTATAGAAAATTGATATTAAGATGATTCAAGTCTCCATTTAAAGCTCTTTCAATTATCTACAGAAAAAAAAAAATACTCATTGCTTCATTTCCTTACTCATTAATTCCAGAATTACACGTAAAGTTCTATTGTTCATTTGGTCAAACAGTACTCTACAGCTTTTCTACCCTAGCTCTAGAAAAACAATCTTTTGGAATACACATCCATTTTAAGTGATTTATCACTTGTTTTAAAGCTTAGGATGTGTAGTTATTGGTCACCAAATTTCATGAATAGATTCATTTATTTACCATACTTTTGTTCTGTGTCAATTTAATTGCTCGTTATGGGATACTTTATCCCTTTATTTGCATTATTTACTACTAATATCAATGTGATGACATTTGTAGCATTTCTATCAAAACCGTTGCAATCAGCAACTCTTAAAATTTTGTAGTAGTTTTTATCTTATAACTGCTACAAATTTCATGCTACAAACTTGGGGTCATGTGGCAAGTTGGTCCCAACTTTGTAAGCTACAAAGTTGCCAATTTAGCGCCATTTTTGTAGCAGTTTCCCCCCCTAAAATCGCTATAAAAATCCATCAAAAACTTATGCATGGTCAAAGTGCTATAAATTTGTAACAATTTTGCGTAAAATTGTTACAAAACTTACATATTCTAGCAGTTTTTTTTAACTACTATAAAATAACCGTTGCAAACACACTTTTTTTTTGGGTAGTGAAATCCCATCGCATCTACAATTTCATGGTTATCAAACCCCATTGCAAATATGGCGAGCCTTATCCCCTCTTGATTTGGTTCTAAATAAAGTGCAAATGTCTAACTTGCACCCTACTGATTATGATAATAGGGTAATAACTTGAACATTTCTAATATAAAATTCAGTTGATAAAATACTAATATATATTTTAAAAATTTTAATAAAAAATTATTAAAATATAAGTTTTAAAAATATAATTAACGTAATCATTGGAATATGATTTGTTTCATTAAATATTCGGATTGTCTCTTGTGACTTTTCAAAAATCATGTGATGACTTAATTTCCAAATTATTAACCCAAAAATTCACACGAGATAGGTTAAAATATACACTTGATGCTTTAATTTTTTATATAAGATTTTAATTTGATTTCTTAACTTTAAAAAATATATTTTTAGTCATTTAATTCTAAAATCATTAGTCTTAAATGATACTTTTTTTAAACAATCATAGTTGTTTGAGCATTAAACTTATTATGTTAGCATTGAGAATGTTTTGTCAACATTTAATATCTTGATACCATCATTTTTTATTAATAATTTTAGAGTTAAATAACTAAAAACATGCTTTTTAAAGGTAAGAGAGTAAATTAAAACATTATATAAATTTAAGGAACTAAAAATATATTTTAGCCCACAAGATGTTTTGAGATCGAAGGGCTAGTCAACACATGCATGCTGGCGTAATGCCAATGAAGCTTTTGTTTTCTTCCCGTTTAATTAATGAACTTTCAAATGGTCACCGATTGCCGCATTGTGACCGGCCATGCCCACTAATGTATGATCATGCCTTATCACCATGTATGTGTGTGAGAGAGGGAATGTGTAAGAGTGTTGCTCAGTAAATATTATGGGATTTATATTATATTTCACAATATAATAAATAAATTAAATTAAAATATTTAATTTTTTCTGTACACTTTTATTTTGTTTTTATCAATATTTTAAAGTAAATATAAGTAACAGATACTTTGGGAGTACGTAGTACTTTTTTGACCAGGTTCGTGACCACTTGATGACGTGGGTTTAACTATGGAGTGCTGATGAGTATAATGTTGGCGTCATCATTTCTCATTGGTTTTTTTGTCGAAATGTCCAAACTAGTTGTAATCTTCCAAACCATTAGTCTTCCAAGTCTTCCGCTAATTAGTCTTCTATATCCATCTTCTGCAACAGTAAGTTCTGCCCAAGAAGCAAGCAAGGGAATAGGCTCCATGCCTTTTAAAAGCGTGAAGGTCACAAATATGTGAAAGCAGATCTATCCCACCGATCTTATATATATATATATATATATACACACATTCTTCCTTATGTTTTATGATAATATGATCTCCTTCCTTCTTCATCTTCACTTTCTTTAAATGGAGCCAACCCTACCCCTATGAATATATATTTCAATCCAAATTTTCTCTAAACCAAAAACCAAAAACGCTTCAACCAAATCTCCTTGCTATGATCATCATCACTTTCATGTTCTGGTCGTCATGGTGGGCACTGAACGGCGTCGTTTCGGACCCGCAGACCAATCTTTTAAGAAAAGATTGCACTCCAGCTGGCATACTAGTGCTGCCCAACTTCTCCATCTTCAGTGACAACGTTAACGAAACGTTTGGAGAGATCAGAGAGCAGATTATGAGCATAAACAAGCACTTTGCGACGGCGCAGCAAGGTAATGGAGGAAACCCTGTTTTCAGTCTTTTTCAGTGCAGAAACTACCTCTCCGTTCATGACTGTGTTGGCTGCTTCGACGCCGCCGCCAAACAAGTCCGCAATTGCCCTGCTGCTTCGCCCGGCGGCCTTGTCGTCTACGACGGCTGCTTCCTCGGGTACAACTAGTCCACTAGTTCTTCGTCTCCCCCCCCCCCTTTTGGCAATCTTTTCCAGCCGCCAGGTAAGTTTGAAGTCTAACCGTTTCTTTTTGTAAAAATTTCGACCAAAATTTCATGGGTGAAAAGAAAAGAAAAAAACATCATTGCTTTGTTTTTTTTTTTAAATTTGATTTGTTAATTGACAAATTTGAGCTATTGGTATTTATAATTTTTATAGGTAAATGAACAACTCAAATTTAGTAATTCACAACAAAATTCCAGTGATACAAATTCAAAACCTCAAATGCAATTGTTTTAATGTGAATGAAAAATTCAAATTCAGAGATTTACAACAAAAATTTAGGGATTTATAACATAAATTCAGCAATTTATTAAAAACGTAAGGAAACTCTCAGCCCTAATATAATTATTTTGATAAGAATAAACAACTCGAATTCATCAATTTGTAGAAAAACACAAAGAAATTTACAATTCCAAAATAGAACAAGAGTTTTTTTGTCTTTTAATCTATAAAATTTTAGTGGTGCAATGAAATTTCACACTTTTTTGAGTTGAGTGATATTAATTGTGTAGTAGGTGGTTTTTTTTATTTATTTAAACGTTCTCCATTTCTTTTTAGTTGTAATCATTTTGCTTTTTGAGGATGACCTTTACTTTTCTCAGTAGTAGATCATAGGGAAAGCATACAATGTTTACATTGATTGAATAAACTGTAGCAATACTTTCTTTTTTTTTTTTTTGTGGGTGTGGGTTTGGGGGTGTAATCCTCGATTAGGATATCAGGACATCAGGCCAGTAACAAAAATAGACGTAACAAAGCCAAGGGGGTTCCCCCAAAAAAAAAAAATAGAGACGTTGGAGAAAATCAACATTGGTTAATTTTATAAATGAATTAAAGTACAAATCTACCTATGAAGTATGCTTTCATATTCATCTAGCATCGCTAACTTTTCTTAGATGCAAAAATGCACATGTACTATTTTGGAACATTTGTCTGCTTTTATGCCCAGAAAAAACTTATTTTGTTAGGTGTTCTTGGGAAAATACTTCATAGATAAATTTACAATTTAGCGCTTTATAGAATGTATGATTCCATAATTAATATATATTTATTAATATAAAAATAAAATTGATAATTATATATTTGTCAATTTACATTATACTCCTCCGGTCCTTAATATAGGACCCAATTCTTGAGTTGGTTTTAGTCCTAAATATAAGACATATTTCTCATATTTATTTATTTTATCTAAATTACCCTTATGGATATTCCTTCAACCATAATCAAATAGAAGAGAAAGATTGGGTATTAAAAAAGATGATTGTGGTGTTTTAGGAAAAATGTGTCACTTTTCTTATAGTTAACTAACTTACCTAACTTCCTTAATTTAATCAAATTAGTTAAATGGGTCTTATATTAAGGACCAGAGGAGTATTAAAATTGCATTTCTATTTAATCAAAACTTTAGAAATCTATGTATATAAAAATATTTTACTCTAATTAAAAACTTCGTTGTACGAAAAAATATTAACTCGCGTGGTTTTATATCAGCATTAGAAAATTAATAATTTTGATCTGTACAGAGCTAATTAAACTCATATTGAATTTGGAAAAATGATGCGATTTATAATTGGGAAAGTTACGTACAGGTCCCACAGAAGGCAATTTATTACTCTGAGGTCCCACGAAATGTTAAAATCACTGACAGGTCCCAAGGGACCTCAGAGTAATATTTTCGTTTTGTAAAATGACATTATTGCCCCTCATATTCCAGATTCACATTTGCTCTGTCATTGCGATTTACCACCTCAGCAGCGACTATTAACAACCTAATGAGAGGGCGTTAACAACCCTAGCAGTATCCGTTAACAACTTACTTTATAGAATTATATAATCTCCACATAAGAGTTAATTATAACCAAATAGTATAATACAACAACTTTAACACTAAAATGGAAAGCTTTTTGATATCATTAAGAATTTTAATTAGATCCAATAGGATTATAGTAATATTTTAATGCGAAGATCCATTTACAACCTTAACAACGACTATTAACAATCGAATGAGAGGGCATTAACAGCCTAAATAGTAGCCATTAACAACTTACTTTATAGAATTATATAACCTCTGCATAAGAGTAAATTATAACCAAATAGTATAATACAACAACTTTAACACTAAAATGAAAAGTTTTTTGATATCATTAAGAATTTTAACTAAATCCAATAGAATTATAGTAATATTTTAATGTGAAGATCCATTTACAACCTCAATAGCGACTATTAATAACCGAATGAGAAGGCATTAACAACCTAAGCAGTATCCGTTAACAACTTACTTTATAGAATTATATAACCTCCGCATAAGAGTAAATTATAACCAAATAGTATAATACAACAATTTTAACACTAAAATGGGAAGCTTTTTGATATTATTAAGAATTTTAACTAAACCCAATAGGATTATAATAACATTTTAATGCGAAAATCCATTTACAACCTCAACAGTAAGTATTAATAACCTAAGGAGAATTGTTAACAACCTTAGCAGTGTCTGTTAACAATTAACTTTATTGGATAATATAATTTCTAACTATAACTAACTAAATTATAACTAAATAGTTTTAAAGTTAATCTTATATAGTTGTTAGAGGTTATATTATCCTATAAAGTCAGTTGTTAACAGATACTGTCTAGATTGTCAACAGCTCTCTTTGGGTTATTAATACTCACCATTGAGGTTGTAAATGGATCTTCGCATTAAAATGTTACTATAATCCTATTGGATCTAGTTAAAATTCTTAATGATATCAAAAAGCTTCCCATTTTAGTGTTAAAGTTGTTGTATTATACTATTTGGTTATAATTTACTCTTATGCGGAGGTTATATAATTCTATAAAGTAAGTTGTTAACAGATACTGCTTAGGTTGTTAATGCCTTCTTATTCGGTTGTTAATAGTCACGGTTAAGGTTGTAAATGGATTTTCGCATTCAAATATTATTATAATCCTATTGGATCTAGTTAAAATTCTTAATGATATCAAAAAGCTTCCCATTTTAGTGTTAAAGTTGTTGTATTATACTATTTGATTATAATTTACTCTTATGTGGAGGTTATATGATTTTATAAAGTAAGTTGTTAACGGATACTGCTAAGGTTGTTAACGCCCTCGCATTGAGTTGTTAATAGTCGCTGCTGAGGTTGTAAATCGCAATGACAGAACAAATGTGAATCTGGAATATGAGGGGCAGTAATGTCATTTTACAAAACAAAAATATTACTCTGAGGTCCCTTGAGACCTGTCAGTGATTTTGACATTTTGTGAGACCTTAGAGTAATAAATTGCTTTCTATGGGACCTGTACGTGATTTTCCCTTTATAATTTTGTGTATTGAGGTACGAGACCACCGGTGCTTTCCTTGAACAAACAACGGAGGATTTCAATGCCGTATCGTGTAGTAGCCAGACTATGACAGGATCCACTTCGTTTACCTCACTTGCGCAGCAAATGCTAAAGAGTCTCCAAACAACAGCACCCAAGAACCAAGGGTTCTTTGCAGCCACAAGGATAGAATTGCCTGATAATAGTACAACTATTTATGCCTTTGTTCAATGTACTGAAACTATCACTCAGACTGGATGCGTCAATTGCTTGAACACTGGCTATAACAATATGCCGACTTGTCTTCCCAATTCGGAGGGTAGGGCTTATGCTTACGGGTGCTTTATGAGATACTCCACTACTTCCTTCTTTCCAGATAATTACCAGACAATTCATATTACTTCCGAGGGCAAACAAGGTACTCCATTGTTTATCGAATCCTTATTTGGATAAATTTAGTTAATTACTTTGGTGATTTCACAGGTACTAAAAGTGGGATTTGGGGTGTCAGCTTTGCTGCCACTTAGTTTTCGTCCACTCAAATGTTTTCTTTCTTGTTTTTTATCATTATATGCTACGTAAAATGAGAGACATTTTGATATCTTGTTTGGATAAAAAAATAGTGCAGCTTTGATTTTTTTAAATATTTTTTTTAAAAATATATCTAACTAGTTTTTTTTTAATATTCATTAAAAAAATTCAAAACTAGTGCGCCATTTTTTGCCTATGAGATATCAAAATATCATTCATTTTTTTTTTTTGGTAGAATGTAATAGTCAAAAGAAATAACAGAAAAACATTTGAGAAGCAAGAAAAGACCAAGGGGCAGTAGAGGGGATAGCTGACATTGCAAAGGCCTCAGAATAACTATTTGGTTCATTTTCTCATGTATCCGCAATTCTGAATCTCTCAAGTTATATTATATGTCTCATTTCAGTGCCCCATTAATTAGACATGGATATATATAGACGTGCATAAAGATCGACTCATTTCAAAAGTGATGGGTTCGCTATTTTTTATGTCTTGCAGGTTCAAATAAGAAGGGGACCATTATAGGTGTAGTTGTTGGAGTTGTAGCTTTTGTTTTGATCCTCCTTACACTATTAGCTTGGATTAAACGACCGAAAAGGCCTGAAAGATCAGTTCCTAGAGGTAAACACCTTGGAAGATATCTTGTGTATCATATTGTAATGATTTATTGTGATGCTTTGATCACATTTTCCCTTTATAGAAAACGTCATGGACGTTAATTCATGTTTATGGATATAGAAACGCCTAACTGTTTTTTCTTAATTTATGAAAGGACTTAATTTGACTAATGTTTTACCTGACAGGCGACATATCCGGAGTAAGTAAGTTGAAAGGCCCAATTAATTTTAGCTATAGAGAGTTGAAGTTTGCAACTAAAAGTTTCAGTGCAGAAAATAAAGTTGGAGAAGGAGGATTTGGTGCTGTATATAAGGTAACTATATATTTTGATTTTCAATATTTTGATCTCAATATGTATCTAAGGGATTAGTTTCATATTCTGTTGCAAATATGCAAAACTTCTAGTAATACTTTCAGGATTGACATTCATAATCTTTATAAATAGGGTACCCTGAAGAATGGGAAAGCAGTTGCTGTAAAGAAGTTAACCTTACACCAGTCTAAGAAGGTGGAAGAAGAATTTGAAAGTGAAGTGAAACTTATAAGTAATGTCCATCATCGGAATCTTATTCGGCTTCTTGGATGTTGCAGTAAAAGAAACGAGAGAATTCTTATTTATGAATATATGAAAAACACCAGTCTAGACAAATTCTTATTTGGTATATATATTTTATCCCCCAACAAAGCTTATATGTAGTTCTCTAGCCTTTAACTATTGAATTTCTTTATAACGTTATGACATGTGGACATTTTCAACTAACAAATATATCACTGACTCCTTCAACAACAATTCATTGACATGTCATAGTTTCATACAAGAGCTTCATGAACAAACTTGTCAATGCCTTACTGAAACTTTTTTTTCATTAATAAATTTGATTCTTCTTCCTTAATATTTTGTGTAAATTTGTGAAATAGGTAAAAACAGAGGTTCTCTTAATTGGAAGCAACGGTATGATATAATTTTAGGAACAACAAGGGGTATAACTTATCTACATGAAGAATTTCATGTTCGTATCATACATAGAGATATAAAGGCTAACAACATTCTCTTAGATAATGATCTCCAACCAAGAATTGCTGATTTTGGCTTAGCAAAGCTTTCACCTGAAGAAAAATCTCATCTTAGTACAAAATTTGCTGGAACATTGTAAGTAAAGAACTTATATTGATGACACATGATGCTACACTTTACATTGTATAGTCTATTTCATATTCAAAATATTCTTCATGCACTAATTTGAGCCATCAACTAAAACAAACGTTTATACTTTACAGAGGATACACTGCATCAGAATATGCAATTCATGGTCAATTATTAGAAAAAGCTGACATTTATAGCTTTGGCATTGTACTCCTAGAAATTATCAGCGGTGAACAAGGCAATGAATTGAATATTCATGATGATGTTGAAGGCGAATTTCTGCTTAAGAAAGTAAGGAAATTCGAATGATTGATTAAAAATAGTAGTTTCATTTGAGAGAAAATTTTAATGTAGGACTATTTTAACCACTTTTTCTTGTTTGCCCTTCTTATTCCATTTCCCTTTAACTCACTTGACAGGCTTGGAAGCTATATGAGAGAGGCTTACACATGGAGTTGGTGGACAATACCATGGATCCAAATGATTATAATGTAGAAGAAGTGAAGAAAATTATAGAGATTGGTCTACTTTGCACTCAAGCATCTGCTGAATTAAGGCCATCAATATCTGAAGTAATTGTTTTGCTCCAAGGCAATGGCTTATTAGAGAATATGAGACCCACCATGCCTATCTTGATTGAAACTTAAAACTAGGGGTCCCTGTATGACATCTATACCTTTAGTGCGTCCTTTTACATCGATCACCATGGCCTTTACTTTCTTACTATAAGCAAACTTATGTATTCTCCGAGAACATGTGGTTATGGGTGACTCATAATTTTGAGCCAAACAGGTAGAGAATAAGGTAAAAGACTTCAGCTTGTGCTTGGAACAGAAACTTGTGGTTTATTGTGGGCAGTTTTATTTTCAACTATGCGAACACAACTATTTTGGAAAATCTTCTCTGATGTGGCTCTCTAATCATAGAAATGAGCTTTTTCGGACATGTGGCACACGAAGACCTCAGCCTGGTCTTCTACTTTCTTGTATCTGTGTCTATATATGTATATAGGAATATAAATATGGATAATTGCTTTTTTTCTCATCCTCTATAATCCACTCATGAATTACATTGCCCCTTACAAATGAGATCCATGTTGTAGGGTGTTCTCTTACAAGGCATATATATAATCATTAGGCTTCTCATCTAGTTTATGTATGGTAAAAAGAATTAATATTTAAGCGCAGCACCAAGTGAATGGCATGTTCAGTAGTTTTGTTAACCTACAGTAATTTCAAAACGGTCAAAACCCACCAAATGAAGATTGATTTTATTGAGGATTCAACAAAGATTAAAAGCAAGATCACCTCGAGGTTTTGTTGACGTACTAGTGGCCGGAACATGTTCAGAAATGCTCTAAAGTTAAAAACTTTAAAAGGCCTTGTTCTTTTTCTGATAACTTTCAGGAGAAACAAGAAACACAGTTTGAAGAAATACAAGAATGTCAAGTTAACAGAAAAATGCATACAAGAGTACAGTAAGCCTACCACCTCAGTAACTAAATTTACTTCACAACTAGAACAAAACCCTAAACCTAAATGAAGAGCTTCTAAATAATAGAGTAATTGATTAATGTATTGCTTGTTAGCCACTAACCTGTGAATTTTTCTGCTCTGTATTTCGAGTTGATGAATATGTTGGATGCGACTGTGTCAGCACCTCGTTCACAAAAACCAGAACATGGACCAGATGCATTCCCAAGAATATGGTAGTCCCCACAGAGACAGAGACAGAGAGTGTAGAAAGACAAACATCAATCCCTTGCTTACAAATTCTGTTCATTAACATAATTTTGGACATATATTGAATAATTGGAAGTATGCACCCGTAAGCCTTGACAATGCATACGTGCACAAGGTACTTGGCTAATCAAATACCAGAACAGAACACGGTTCAAACAAAGCAGTAATTCGGTAACAATTAATTGAAGTTCCAAACGCCACCTCGATGTTTTATCTGAAAATAAACAGGAAAGAAGGCAGAACTTGGGTTCTCCCTGTCGGATGATAGGCTGATCAATTGGATGTGTAGACATTATATTTAATTTATTAAAAGAAGTTTTATTAAATGTTTATTTATTATATTGTTTTGCATGTTTTCTTCATAATAAGGGTCCATGAATAATTAAAGAATTGTTCTAAATGTCCTTGGTCAATTATTGCGAGAACAATAATGAATTAATACTAATCTGATTTTGATTGATAACCACATGTATGGAGATACAAATTAAAATCATAGGCGCTTGTTAGAGACCAAGATGCTGAACTGGCCCATCATGGGATAGCTACATAGACTAGGTCATAAGCATATATCTTATTATGTCAATGAGCCCTTGGACTTGAGATTACAATGGATTAATTGCTTCAAGATGAACACTACGTTTTGACATGATCAAAAGAAAATTTTAATGGGTGATTATAAAGGTTGTGATTGAGCATTACAGAGAATAGTAAATGGTCAAGATGGAATTCATTTCTCTCATTAGTCAGATTATTGATCATCATATAATTTGGATAGTTATAATGTCTTATTAGAAGCCACTTGTGACTTGTGGGCCAAAAGATACTTTGGGTTCACACAACATTATATGAACCTATAAGGTTGTATGCAAGAATGGGTTAACCCAAAGTAAAATATCTAAATTCATTGAATTTAGAAAGTGTTCATATTTACCACTGGCTGCTTGGCTGAGTAGTATGTGCGCATGTGTGTTGTAGGTTTGAGCCCCCTCTTGTAACTCAAAAAAAAAAAAAAAAAAAAGACATTGTTCGTATTCAATAAATATAAAATGTTCGTTCAATGTAGAAATTTTTTATTTTTGAAATAAGAAAAATGAAGATGATCTTCTAATTTCGATTAGAAGAATATAATATTATTTTTGGTGAAATAATATTGTCTTATTATTATTTTAAAAAATGATAATATTATGTTTAATTTAGGATTCAAAACCTTTAGAAATTTTTTTCTAAAATATGATATCTTTGGAAGATCTCAGATACTTAAACTAAATAAACTAAATAGAATGATAAAACCTTATTAAAGATACTAGCAGATGAAAACTAATGTATATATGATATGCATAATTTTCTGAATCAAATATTTATTATAGGATAAATATCGTATCTTTCTTTCGATAAGGTGGGCGAATTTTATGTATTTGATATATAATTTATTATTTAATTTAAATGAAATTTAAGTTAAATAAAGATTTATCTCAATGAGGAGAGAGGCTCACCAAGGTGATGATAGGGAGGCCGGGACTACTTGAGAGTGATAGAATCATTAAAAACCACCTATAAAGAGAAAAATGCTAAAAGTAACAACAAAGGACATTTGTCGCCTGGAAAATAAGTGTGACCTTCTTGGATGACAAAATTAGTTATAACTTATGTAATTAATTGTAAGGAAAATCTCAAGCTGTCACTCATATGGAGAGTCTTGATTTTGCTTTACTCGCTAAACAAGTTTGATGGCTTATTTATGGTGATGATAAGTTACTTTTTGTTGAGGTCCTGTCATCTAAGTATTTTTAAGAGATTGAGGCCAAAAAAAGTATTTTTAAGAGAGATTAGGAGTGATAACAAATTGCATTTTAATATGCCTTGGCCCTAGAAAGGAACTTTTAGATACTAGGAAGCTTTCACCAATAATCTTAATTGGAGGATTGACACTTTTACAGTGAAACACTAATTTCTTTTTTTTTCTTTTTTACCAAAAGAGAAACACTAATTTCTTTGTATTATCGTGTCTAGTGAAAAGGGCAGCCAATTTCTCGCTTCTTGGTGGATCTTACACTGCCTAACCAAAAGGTATCAGGAACTCCAAATCTGTTAATGTCACCTCTAAATCGCCTTTCCTCACATGGAACTCGAGATGGTAATCAGTCTTACGTGAATAGTCGACTAAAGCGTATTTCCTCCTCCTCAACATCGACTCGCCTCTCTTTAATTCCTCCTTTTGGAAGCATCTTTACAATTTGAAATGCAACCTGGACAAACATCAGAGATCCTTTTGGTGGATTATTTGAAGAAATCCCCGAAACATGTTTTTCTCCCGTGCAGTTTTGAACATTTTCGCTCTTCCTACTGCTCCCTAGAAGATCTCTTCCTTGGTTCCTGAAACAATTGTGGAATGATGTCCCCGTATTCTTGATTTTATGTATTTATAATACTTTTGATTTTTTTTAAAAGAAAAGAAAATTTCCACTTGGTTTCGATCCTCATTCACGTCATTTGAAATACTGATCCATGGACTGCCAAAGAAAATCTACAATCGATCGCTTTAATTTTCAGTACTTAAATGCCAAACTTCTGGTTTTAGACTTGGCTTTCCCTGCCAAGAGAAGCTTAGCCTATTAATAGATTATTATAGACGCCGAAATATAATACAAAAATGTAATATGTAACAATATTCTACATTTCCTGTCCAAAAACACAATCAAGAACATTTTAATTTATACAACTAAATGACAGCAACCAAATTTAACTTAATATTCTTTTCTCATATAATGCATCACGCCTCATCGCGTTATGTACTGAATCTCTGCATGTTCTTTCAACCATTCAAGCACTTTAGCTCCTTCTAGTATCTCTTGCACCTGCCAAACCAAAAGACAAAAACGGGTAAAACCTCTGAAAGTCAAATTAAGTCTTTTAAATAGAAATAGAAGGATCTGTTTGTATACAATGATGTAGAAAGTGCTTATCCCTAAACAATCCATTTTGAAGATGGTTGGAGATGTTTGTGTATGTACGCAAATACTTGGAACATCACTGTTTATACGACTCACTAAACACTATAACATCAAAATTAATGTTCAAAATTCAGGCAAAAAAGTTAGTGTTCATAATTATAACTCAGAACAACTTGAATTTGAATACTATAGATGCGTAACAAGAACTTCTTTTAATTTTATCATCAGCGAATTGTCTGATCCAATAATGTCAGTGACTGTTCTAGTTCTCACAATATACGCGCGCATGCGTGAGAAAATGTTGATTGTTAACAATCTTTTCAAAACCAATGCACAAACCTGGTCCTTCACCCGTTCTTCATCATATTCTTGCTTTTGACGTTTAAATTCAGCTATGGAATTTTCAACCTCTTTGACAAGATCCTCGGTAGCAAACTGAAAATGATAAATATGCAAAAGTTAATAAGCCAAAACGTCATCCAGCCGCACTACGTAGTTGATTAGAAGAGTACTATGTAAAGTAAATATTATTTCCAACACACAGGGAATTTAATTGCTCTGACATATGTCAGCTTTTTGCTATTTAGCAAAGTGAGAAGAAATTCTTTCTTTAATCACCTCAGGAGAACTATGACAACATAAATTTTCATAATCTGGGAAGCTATAGAATTAGGTTAATTCCTAAAAGAAACTAAGTAGATATTCTAGTATTCCAATTAGGGCCTTCTTATGAAACAAATTTTTCCTTCTAATTCAGGTCTGATTTTGAACCAGACTCTTGATTGAGAATTGGAGAAGGAATGAATAAAATCAGGACTTGAGGTCATTTTCTCCACCAGGGTTCTTGAATTAGATCTAGTTTAATTTGCAAAATTTATGGATTTTCGGTGTTTTTCACTGAAACAAGGGCTGTTTGGGAATTAAGGATTAACTCTGCATGAGAAGGAGGAGGACAAATAGGCAAAACCTCACTTTGACTCGTGTTATCGTCTTTGGCTAATAAGTATAATATTGGAAAGGAGGAAGTTGGTAAATTACATGTTCATCATTGGAATTTAGAAAGTTGAAATACTAATCGAGAAGTTGAATCATTCAACAGGGAGAGAATCAAGCACTTGGAACCAAAAGGCATGCTATAGTGAATTTGGAAATCTTTAAATTAACCACAAATTTTGAAGTAATATATTGATTGGTGAGTTGCATGTTGTTCATACATAAATTAGAACGTCTTCAATTCTGAGCTAAGATTTTCCTTGAGGTGCAGTATTGTCATTAAAGTCAAGATTTACCAATAAAGTTGGTCTCAAAGCTAAAAGGGCATCATTTTGAAATCAAACACAAATAAGGAATGGAGAATACAGCAGCTGATGCTTTATCAAGAAAAGGGAATCACATGGAATAAAAATCCTTTTCCTTATGACAGTCAGGCGTTTGGGAAGAGTGGGAACCTGGGTTGCACCAAGACCTTAAATAGCCTCCCTCATGCAACAGCTAATTTCTAGACAAAAGTGCCATGTGAGCATACATTCGGTGGGTGCTTAATTTATAGAGGGATTTTAATCCTTATTGTAAACTAGAGATTATAACGAGGTAAATGTTTTTTAGAAAGAGACATGAAATCCCCTCTGCAATTGGTTTTTGCATTGGGAAAGATAATACACAAGAATAATCCTAATGCATAGCAAATATAAGAAACCTTATGTATTACTTTTCAATGAAAATATACAACTAATTACTCATGCTTCATGCGTAGAAAACGTATTAAGAATACATACTAGGTATTGAGATTTGTCTCCCTTTTTATTTTTCCGGCTGCCCATTGTCCCAAGGGAAAGTGCACAATTGGACGAAGGAAAACAAAGCCTAGAATAGTTTCAGTGCAACTACATATTTTGAGACATGAAGTTATGTATGACGAGTGATGTTTGTTAACATAGCATGTGTGATCCTTAGTGATTGGACAAGTCATGATAAGAATGAAAGTGATAAAGAACAGAAGACACTAAATAGGACTGCCTGAATGTACAAGTAAATGATAAGTATTATCTGAATGATGCAAGATTTAGTTAACTGGATAAAGGTTCAGCCAATTGGATCTTAAGTTTCAATAAAGTGAGAATGGGACTGAATTAATTAGATCTGGAGTCAACTAACTGGAACATGAAAGTTAGGATTCTGTTAACTAAGTGAGGTATAAGTTAATTGAGACTTACCAGTTAAGAAACATCTGAGTCGGTAAACCAAGACTCACCAGGAGCCAAGGGTAGCAACAATGAAGTCTTCTAATAGGTTCAATTAACTTGATCATTATTCTAGTAAATATAACCTATATGATGGAATATATTAAAAATGTTTAAGGCAATGTTATCCTAATCAATAAACCGAGCTACATGCCTCTTTAGCATTAACATGTACAGGTGTTCATAATTGATTAGTTATCACAGGTACATACTTAGTCAGTGAATCCATACCTGCAAATTTTCACGCCGATATATATCTCCAACTGCAAGGTTCTGCTTTATTAACCTCGTTATATTATCTCTTTGGTGTTCAAGATATTCATTCACGGCCTTTGGACTTGACAGAGAAGCCAACTGCTGCTCAGTTAGTTTTACTTTTGCCTGCGTCACAATTATTTTACTTCAAAATCAATACATGGAGAGGGGGAATATGCAGAGATTTCTCGTACTGAAGGCATAAAAAATTTAATTGTTATAGAAATCAAATTTTAAATTGTTATTGACAATCACTACCTGAATTTCTAATAGGTTAGCACCATAAAGTTGTCTACCTTGTTCCTCAAACAAGGATTGAGGGATATCAACTTCTACCATCTGAAAGATGACATATAATATGAATCTCTTTCAATAATATTCCAAGAATAATTGTGCTTCGTATCAGATAATACCACCCAATCAATAGGAAAGGGTCAAATAGCAGAAATGCTTAGAAGAAAGGTATGTGCTATGACCATTGATACATTTCTAAATGATGCAGAGCATACGACAAAAGGGTAATTGACAAAAGAATTTGCATAAGTTTAGAACATGTTTATTTCATTGTTTTAAAATGAGAGTTAGGTTTGTTTTGAACTGAATATTGGGATGACCAACGCTACTCCAGAATTAGTGACAAACAATCATACAAAAGGTTCAAATGTCTATTATAATTTGACCCAAACTTCAGCTTATTTTGAATTGTCTATAATATCCATAAATCATAATATTTTGATTATGGACAGCCGTAGTATTCTAAAATCAACATTTGCATTCAATTCTTACTAGAATAGCTCTACAAACTAGCTCAGCTGAAAACTATGCTATTTCTTGTGTCATTTCCTATACTTAAATGGAAGTTTCAAGGTAATCTTTTACAAACTTCTCTCATGTTTTGTCGATCAAACTTAAATTTTGGCATTTCAAAAAAACTTGCAGTGCTTCTGCGCTTCCTTCCTCAATCTTGATTGTATTTTTCAAGTGGACTACAATGATTTTGAACTAAGCCCTAGTAGTTTTATACCTCTTTTGTAGATTCTTCTGGGTGGTGAGTGCAAATCATCATTCTGATGCAATCCCCAGAAAATAATTGGCTATATGAAAGGTCTGCACCAATGTTCCGCAGTTCATGGAGGATGGATACAGCATCAATGTACAAGAGGAATGCAAATAGATCAGGAGCACAACTTTCCAGTTTAAGAGACTACAGGCTCTTCTAGCTCAACCCAAATTCTACCCACCCACCACAAATGCTCTTTCCAGCCTTAACATACCACTCAAATATAAGTTTCACCCCTCATGCGTTGCCAGGGTAGTAGTTATGTAGGTGGTTCAAACTCCTCATTATTCTCTGCCCTAGTGGTCCCCTCAACACTTATCCTTCCTTTATTCTATTGGCTTTTGACATGATAACGGACCAAAAGCCATTCCTAATCCATGAATCCATCATTACCTACCCCAGCATGAGTCGCCCTGTCTCCAAAGGAAAATCTGGGAATTGTTTCTGTCTTACATCAAAGTATTCCAACGTACGCTGACAATAAGCAAACCTTCAATTTAACAAGAATTTCCCCTTCTAATCAGTTGGTTTCCTCCTTGAACACAACCTCTAGACATAAAGCTAGCTCCATGTCCTAATTGAAGAAAGGAAGAATTTGTAGTGATGGAATTGAGGAACGCAGCGACTTCAATTGAGAAACAAAGAAAACCAAATAGATACTTGCCATATGTGGTAGCTCAACCACCTCGTGCTTTTCAATGAATTTAAAGGACTCGAGAACCTTGGGCTCAACTTTCATAGGCTAAACATGGTAGCTTAACATTAGAAAAATCTTCAGCTCAAACCAAAAAAAAAAAAAGATTAGAAAAATTAATCTCCCACATCAAATGATACATCCCTCCATTTTTTATCTACAGATGCATTCAAATACTCTCATGCCCTGATTTAAGTTCATTTTCAGTTCTGTTGGAATATTGAGTAACTTGGTATTATTTCTTATTCATTAGGGAAAGTCAGTACAAGCCTCTTCAAATTAGGGAAAGTGGAGAGCAAAAATTAACAAAAACACTAACTTACAGCAGAAAAAAACGAGAAAAAATAACCGTGTCCTAGGATGGGAAACAACTTCTTTGACTTTAGAAAGGTCAGACTCTCCTATGCAATACTCACTTATTGCCTCTGACATTCAGGGAAACTGCCCTCAACAACTGATTCATGTCTTCCACAGCTCAATACACATCAGCTTGAATACAGTAGGCAGGTCAAAATCATGCAAGGCCTTCCATGGTGTCATCCCAACTGACCTATTTTATGCAGTATTAAAACAGTACATTCCTGAGGTAACCTGGTCCACTGGTTGGTCAATTTCCTAGTAAGCACTGTAAACTGGTCTCTGAACTTCTATTAACCACCTGTGTTTTTCATCAGCTTCTGAGGGATACCAGGAATTGTAACTAAGCGAAATTGCTGCAACCTTGAAAAATTCCTCCCAAAAATGGCTTCTGATGACTTTGTCTGGAGCAAAGGATAGTGGATTGGTGAGTTTATGTTCATTTAAAGCTGATTGACATTCCCTCATTTCAGTTTTTCAAAAATTGAATTTTGGAGTTTTCAGTGTCATTCTTACACTAGAGTCATCTTTTTCTCAATTTTTAAATCGGTTTGATCCAAGTTTTCTGAGGTAAATTTTGGTAGTTTCTAGATTTACACCAGTTTAGGTAACAAATAGTCATTTCATGGCCACCCCCATGTCTTCCAGATCAAAAAGGATGTATTGACCATCATACTTGATATGCATGACTCTTGTCATGCATCAAGATTCATGAATCAACCGCAAAGTCAGGAAGAGGCAGATCAAAGCCATCTCTTTCTATCCCCTATCACTGAATTAAAGAAAACATCTAATGCAACAAAAAAAGGGCCAAATGCCAACCAGAAAATCTGAAAATTTTCTTCAAAGTGGTTGTGTCAAATACTCACCATTGAGAACACCATAGAAGAAACACAACCAAAGGCACTGTAGCAAGAAAGTTTTAACTTCGAAAAGGGAATAGATTCAATCTAATACCTCCAGTTATCTGTTATCAATGTAATATGATAATACCTTAGAAAGCTGATCTAAGATAGCATTATCAGTTGCTTGTTCTCGAGCTGTCTGCTCCACCTCTAGAAATCTCTGTAACAATATTTCTTTGACCTGCAAATTCACACGGGAACTTAAACTGGTCACCTGAATATTATACTTCAGTTTAAAATGCTAGCAGTACTTCAGGGGAGAAAATGATACCTGCTCCACCGTGGTGTGTCCAGGAAGAAGCTTATCCGCAATAGAATCATTTAACTCAGGCAAATCCCTGTAAAAAAGTTCTTTGCATGTAACCTATGAAAACCAAAGAAAACAAGTTCAATGTTATGCAATTATAAATAAGAAAATATTTAAATAGTTCATTAGTTAGTATTTTAAATAGATTTAAAATAGGGTTTACATGTTATCTGGGATTTTAAATGTAATCCCAATATTAGTATGATTAGGAAATTTATTAGGGAGAGAATGCCTATAAAAAAGAGGGTGTAGATTACCTGATGTTTTATTTTGATTCTAATTAGATTCCATTATTCAGATTCTCTCTGTTCTCTCTATCTTTCTATTTCCTTATCTCCCTCATCCTCACTCTTTCTCCTTCTCAGTTAAATGCCATAACATTCAGTTGCATATTTTGTTTAAGTTTTCAGCATTATTGCGCAAATTTATGGCTTTAAAACAATTTCTTTTATGTTTGACTTTCTCTTGTACATTCTCATTGCCCCACCAAGTCTCCTTTCTCTTTTTCCGTAACCTTTGGATTCTCCCAAACTAGGGAAAGTATGGCTCGGCCATAAAGGAAAGACTAAGAAAGCAGTGAATGAAGCATGTTTTAAAGCATATGAGTTTTACATGAAGTTAGGAACAAAGGTTGGAGAAAGAAATATTTACAAGATTGTAAAGCATAGGGAGAAAAAATTAAGAGTTTTGGACCAAGATGTACAAAGGATGAAGAAGGCAAAGTTTAGATTACTAATTCAAATATTAAGAATAGATGGGAGGCCTACTTTTACAAGTTGTTTAATGATGGAAGTGGAGCTTTGACTTGGGACTTAGAGGACTCGTTAACTAGCAAAGAGCAACAAAATCTGGTGCTGACTGCAGGATCCACATTAGAAAGCTTAAGGCAACTCTTAAGAAAATGGACAATAGTAAAGCCATTGGACCTAATAGCATCCCTATTGAAATATCGAGTATGGAAATGTTTAGGCAAGGATGATGTGCTATGGCTAACTAAGCTCTTCAATGAGATTTTACATTCTAAGGAAATGCCTGATAAATGGAGAAAAAATATTTTAGTTCATATTTACAAGAATAAAGGAGATATTAAGAATCGTGCTAGCTATAAAGAGATAAAACTTTTAAGTCTTACAATGAAATTGCAGGAAAAAGAGATTGAAAATATGTTGAAGCTGGAGACTTGCATTTCTAAGGACCAATTTGGATTTATGCTAGGAAGATCCACGATAGAAGCACTTTATATATTAAGGGGATTAATGGAAAGATATCAAGCAAAAGAAGAAATTTACAAATGGTTTTCAATTCAATTGATTTGGAAAAAGCTTATGATCATTTACTAAGAGAAGTCCTCTAAAAAGCTCTGGAAAGGAAAGGTGTTGCATATATCAAAGAAACATAAGATAGGTATAAGGGGGAACTATGGTGTAAAAACGCCCGAAGGAGAAACAAAGGATTTTCTTATTAAAGATTGGCCTAGGATCATGTTTAAGCCCTTACTTATTTGACCTTGCTCTAGACATTCCCTTTTCTTGTTTTCTTAGAACTTATTCTAGACAATCTAAAGGTTTTCACTTGAGTGAGAGTAAATTAGGATATATGCGTTGTGATTTTGGTAGGAGACAAGTTAATAGTGATTTGGAGGTTAAGATGGGAGATCTAATCATTCCACAAGTGTCACAGTTCAGATATTTGGGATCAATTATACACAAGGATGGTGAAATTGATGGGGACATTTCACATAGAATGCAATTTGGATGGTTCAAGCAGAGAAGGCTTGCTAGAGTTATTTGTGATAAGTACCTAATAAGCTTAAAGGGAAGTTTTATCAAACTACTATAAGACTAGCAATGTCATATGGTAGGGAATGTTGGGCTCTAAAGGGACAAAAGCATAAAGTTGGGGTAGCAGAGATAAGGATGTTGGGATGGATGTATAGTCATACAAAAAAAAAAAAAAGATTCAAAACAAATATATGAGCGGAAGAGTAAGCATGGCACCAGTTGAAGAAAAAATTGTAGAAAATTGTTTGAGGTGTGGCATCTGTTGAAGAAAAACTAGTAGAAAAACATTGGAGGTGATTTGGACATGTACAAAGAGAACGTTGGAGGTGCTAGCGAGAAGCGTAGACCAAAAGATATGGACTCCTCTGAAAAAAGCAGAGGAAGACCAAAGAGAACACTCAATAAAATCATTGAATGAGACCTTTTGGTTAACAACTTATCTAAAGATTTTACAGCTTAGCAGAGGTTACAGTTATCCGTAATCGTGCATGCCTAAGAAACATGCTAACATTCCAGCTAATGTCCATAGAGTAGTAATATTGAAATTTGACATATGAGCCAGCTATAACATGGCAAACTCACAGTAAATTGAGCATGAAGGCCACGGAGATTTTCTTGCTTCCATGATTCAGGAAATACCAGAGGAAATGACTTTGTTTCACCTGGACGAATCCCAATAATAGAATCAACGAAACCTGGAAGTACTTTGTCACCATCATCCGTATCAAAATGAAACCCTACATATAGAATACATGGTTCAATTTGAAAAAGTTCATGATATGGTACAAATAAAGAAGTGCCATCAGTATATCATCTTTTATGCACATTAGCTGACCTTTACTTTCCGCAGATGGAATATTTTTTATTTTTGTTTCATCCTGATCAATTGTCGTTGCAGAGATATCAAGGACAGTAACGTCACCAATCTGTAAGCAGGAATAAGGATCATGTCTTAGCTACTAATACAAAAATTTAGTTTAATCGCAATTATATTTAAATGCATAGAGTAACTTGACGATAAGACCACTAAAGTAATTTCCATATATCACAAAAGCTCTTTCATTAAATCAGCAGCTGAGTAAAAGTTATACATACATGATTAGTTGAATAGAGTCTTAAATCTAGCTGCATAGCGCTTGAAAGTTTTGAGAACAAAATACCAAGTTTAGATTTAATTAAATAGCACTTCAAAGTCCATAATTTCTTCAAACAAAAATCAACTGCTTGCAACAGGCATAACTTCAAAGTACCTGTAGCCCTCTCTCAGTAATAATTTTCAGTGGACCAATGGACTTGTGACGCCTTCTTAATTCTCGTTCAGATGCTTTGTGAGCATCTATATCACTATCTACTTCAACAACTATCTTCATATTTTTATATGCGTCTTCAGTAATCCATTTTATTTCAGGCACAACATCAACTACAACATCATATCTGGAAAAGTCAAAACAGTGAAGACATTAAAGCAGCCATTAGATGAAATATTGAATATTCTTGTAAGAAGGACATTTTTTTGTGCACCAATGGTATATAAGTAGAGATAAAATAAGCATCATAGATCACGCACTTCCAAAAACACAACCTAGATTGACTACCTTAGAGACCCGAGAGAAGAATATGTCTCCTCCAACTCAGAAAATTTAGTTACTATACGTATTGAGTCCTGCAAAGCCTTTCCAGTGACCTATAAAATAAAACACAATGTTTTATACTTAACATATAATTGAACTATTTGGCTAATTATCAAATCTTACATTAGCTATTTGCAAAACATCCTTGAGTATTAGTAACTCCTTACATAAAGTCATTTCAGTGCCAAGGGGATTTCACATCCTTTAAACAGACAATGCACAATTAAAGACTTTGGCAATTTGAAAAAGGTCATTGATAAGTTTGGTTATTTCCAAGGACTGAATGAAATCAAAGTAGTATATATACAGAAGATTCTCAGTCAGACATGGGGAACACGTTGCTATATAGAGTATTTGCAGCAAGAATCAAGAAACATCCACCACAGTAAGTGCAAATAAAAGTAAAGCATAAAAAATGTCTAAAAGGATGCACTAACAGACCAATTAAGGATATCCAATGGTAGAGAACAGAAACCATGTTGCATCATACCTTCAACATGGCATGTGAAAGTGTCCTCCTCAAAATGGATTCAACTGTAGCCTTCTGAACATTTTTCTTTCCAACATAATTAACGAGAATGCTCTCAGGAACCTTGCCAGGGCGAAAGCCAGGGACCTATGAGCATGAAATAATGTTACTTCATAAAAGCAACACATTCTTCTTTCAGAAATAAAAGGCTTGGATTCAAAAAACAAAATTATCAAACTTTTACAATTTGCAATAGAAAAGAAAGTTATCTTTTAGGAAACATACTTTAAGACTGTAATATTGAAAGTCAAACTTTTCGAGAACATAAATGTTAAAACCAAACTTTATCCGAACAGCATTGCAGAAAGGTTCTGTTAGGACCCTATCAATTGCTTCTAGAACAGTACACAAAATGATCATATAAAGAATAGCATTCGCCCAAGAACATGAAAAGAAGAATTGATATATATTACTTCCAATTACAAGTACAACTCCCTGACTCATATAATCTCACACTGATACAAAAATTACAGAGATACTCCCGATGCAGGTACATAACTACAATAAACATAGATAATACAAATAGCACTGAGAGTGAAGATATGAACAATACAGAACATTAACAAAGATGGAGAGCAAAAGGGTTACTGTGCAAGACAAAGGCACACAAAATGCACACAATACCCTTCAAAGCACAACAAAGAACAGGGTTTTCTAATCTTTTGAGACGTTGGCTCTCACCACTCAAAATCACACTCAAAGTTCTCCTCTGCTTTTCATGCTCTCAGCTAATCTCTTCATACACCCACTTTCAACCTTTTAACTGCTCCCTCTTTTCCTTCATTAATGCTCCATTATTTTTATCCTTCACTTTTCTACCTTTTGTATACTAACTTTAGTGTTTTCTTCAGGATCAATAACCCTCCATTTTCAGCCATTTTGCCACTCCCCTATATCCCCTTGTGTGCGTTTTCGAGGCAGTAGTGGACTGGAGCATCTAAAATAAAGAGTACAAAACTCTCATCTATCAGCAGTTAACTAATGAACTGTGCAGAATATGGGTGGGGAAAATCTTATGCTTTTATCAAAGAAGAGTTACACTACTATTTTCATGTTATGCTTAAGAATGAAATATGGCTCTAACCACTGGTGTGTCAGTATTTAGTTACCATTGTCAAATTGGGATCAAAAGCTGCATGATTCAATCCCCTCAACTGACAACATGATTACGGGCCCGTTTAGAATAGCTTATAAATAGCTTATAAACTGCTTTTCAATAGTGATTTACGGAATACGAGACAAATATGTTAGAAAAGTTTTGTCTTGGCTTATGTGAAACGTGCTTATGGAGGATTTCTACTGCTCTGCCAAACAGGGCCTAAAGGTGCAGACTCAGTCAAAAACTTTTAGGACACATTTTGTTTTGCCCAAACAGAAGCCAGATAGGGGGAAAAAAATAAATAATGCATGAGTAAATTGCAATCAAACAGTACCTTCGCCTGTTTAGTAAACTCAGCAATGACCATTTTGTAACAATCCTCACAGACCAAAGGTGGAACTTCAACCTGCAATTTAACCTGCAAAGAGAGAGTGATGGTCATCGGACCACCGAAATTTTGAATGTTTGATGTTATGTATGGATAAAGAAAGCAATGATCATACAGAAACAAAGTCAAATGAAACGATGAATCACATTTTAAGAGATTACAGGAAAAAGAAAAAGGAAAGAAAGAGATGCCACAAGGTCAAAACGCCATGCATTGAAGAGGCCAGATAACTCTCCTCCCAGATACCAAATCCCTCGATAAACCCTTCCCTCTATCTCCGCCCATCCCCCCGCCCCCCGGCGGGGCTGTCTTCCCGCTCACGCACAGTCGCTCCCGTGAGATATAGTTAGTTATCACATTCTCCGCCCATTCTGCCACCTCAATTATGCAACTGAATCTCTCATTCTCTTCCACTCGTTAACTCTGAGATTCAGTCCACTAAAACTGCCCACTATAGTATCGCATAAGCAAAAATTCAGTGAACGAACCATGGACTAAATGATAAGCAAGTCATTAAATATATGAGTGTGTTTTATTCCTCTAAATAAAATAGAAAAAGAAACATCAAACTAATCGAAAATTTGTCAAAAAATATTTATACAGAACAGAATCATTCTAAGAAATGAAATGGAGGAACATACTCTGGAATTGGGTTCTTGAGTTTCGGTGACATTCAAATCTGCGGGAAGCCGGTCTATTTCACTGTCAGCAGTGACGGAAGAGGAGGAGGAGGAAGAAGAAGAAGCTGAAACTGGATGGAAACATGAGTTCTGACGATCTAAGCCGAGCTGGAAGAGTTGAATTTGGGGGGTTAGAGATGAATGCCTCAAAGTATTGAAGGCTCTGGGCTTAGACTTGAATGAAGAATTTTGAAGAGAAAAAGAAGGAGAAGAAAAGGAAGAGAGACGACGTGGAGATGGGCTGGAATGGAGGATAGTTCGGAAGTTTATGCTACAAAGCTCCATTGATGGCCAAAAGCGAAGCGCGAAGGAGCTTGAGAATCGCCAGCGTCGCCCTGTAGGAGCAGCAGCGCTTACTGGATAAAGAAAACGATATTTGGAACGAGATGGACCAACGTGTAAAGAATTAAAAAACAAGGGGAAAATTCAGTTGGCCCTTTCAACGGGTATTTAATTTTTATTTGCACCCGAAAAAAATCTCAAATTTCACTGCACCTCAAGAACTAAAATGAAATTAAATTTTGCTGGTAAAAAGATATTATTGTCTTTACTCCAGTCATAAATAATCGTATTGGTCATGTGATTGTGGATTGTATTATCTTGGTTGTTAATTCTCATATTTCACCCATAAATTCTCACTCTCTTACTTATTGTAATTGCTCTAGTCATAAATGGTCATATTCTTGTTGTGAATTCTCTTACTCGTAAATTTTCGTATTTTACTTATGAATCTTAACTGTCTAGCTTATTGTGAATGCTAGTTCTACCTGTAAATTATCTTACTCAAATTGTAAATGGTCATATTTCTCTTATGAATTCTTTTATCTTATTGTAAATTCTCTACTTGTCAATTATCTTTTCTTGTTTCTTTTTTTGTGAGGTTATTATTATATTCTCAATTTTCACTCTAGGAATTAATTTCACTTTATCCCTAAAGGGGTGTGGTGAAATTTCAAAATTATATGAAAACATTATGAAATAAAATTCCTATTGGGGGCTAAATGAAATTTTCTCAAAAAACAATAAAAGCATGGTTCGGTTTTGGAAACCATTCTTGTATTTGATATGAGAGAAGTGGCGGGGAGGAGTTTGGACTGGAGTTAAAAGCTTTGGGTTAAGGTAAAAATTTATCCCAAAAATTTTTGTCAAAAATATTGGGTATCCAAAAATAAAATTTTCATGTAAATTTGTTTTAAAGTCATAGCAATTTTATCCATACCGTTAAAAAACTAATATTAACTGTCAAAATAGTAATATTAACTATTAATATTTTTAATGATTAGAAACAAAATTGCTACAATTTTAAACTCATAAGACAAATTTGCACCCAAAAAAATTTCTAAACACTTAGTACTCCTAAGTAAAAACTTTTGGGGTAAATTTGTATCTTGACTCATAAGCTTTTAACTAATTCTATTTGCTTTTTATTTTATAAAAAAAATAATAAATTTATCTATTATAATATTAAAAAATAAGTACCAAGTACAATAAAAATATTCATGAACCTTTCCAAACGGGGGAAAATGCCTTTTTTGTTAACTGCCCGTAACATCCGTCACTTTTTCCTTTGTGAGTCCCACCAAGTATACACGCGTCAAATGCTCTGCCACATACACCTTCGATTTCTCTTCCTCTTCGAGTCGCGATTTCACATAACTAAATCCGTACACTCCCTCCTCCGTCAGCCATCATGTCTTCACTTCTTCCGCGCTCATCATCGTTAACGACGCCGGCTTCTGGATCCGTCCATGTGCCTCTCTCCAACAACAACATCGGTGACCTCCTTTGCTCATTCTCCTCACCGTCAACCTTCCCTACTTCTCTGCATCTCCCTCCCTTCTACATAAATCCGAACCTCCAATCCTCACCGTCAACCTTCTCTACATCAAAGGAGACCATCACTACACACTTCCTTATCCCCTCACACACTCTCCCACACGGAAAAGAAATGTTGCCCGATTGGAGAAAGCGTCGAAGCTTTTAGATGCTATGCAAAAATGGCAGCCAACCACTAAACTAAGAGAGGTCGGCAGAGGAAAAGAAGAAGTGAGAGACGTTGATTGCTACGTACGTGCAATACTTAAACTCAATTAAGGTGAGTTTTCCAAATCTATTTTCATCTTTGATTTCTTCGATTGCTGAGGTTTGAGGGTGAGAGAAGCAAAACCATACCTGATTTCCCTGTTATCCTGAATGCCCACAATCTCGAGATAATGGAAAAATGGTTGCTTGAATGGGCCTTCTACTTCTCTTTTTTATGAATCTCTTATCTTTGAAGTCTGATTGAAACTCCGTGGATCTTTCTCTCTCTAGAAGACTCCAACTTTTGTTGTCAAAAGTTAGGACTTACGTAGTCTGAATCTTCGATCTCAGTTCTCACATTCTCATTCTCTGTCTAAGGCGAGGTGTGAGGCAACAAAAGCTGGAATCGAAAGCCATGAGGGCTGGCAATGCTACCCTTAGTCAACCACCCAGGATGATGATGGTGATGCTCTGATGGCAGGAAAGGCGATGATGACAGAGGAGAGGAAGAATTTCTACACTTGATATATTTATGTCCAATTCAGATGTTATTATGCCACATATATCTTCCCATCAGCATATTTAGTCGCAATGTTCTTTTTTAAGCAGTAAACGTTACTCAATTTAATGGCAGTGACGTTTTAAGGCCTTTTTGAATCATCATGGTTATTTTCACTTTTGATATTTATCACGATGTCTGATGTTCTTTTTTAATATTATAATGGGTAAATTTGTCTTTTCACCCTATTTTATATATTTTTTTATTAAAATTTTATAACCCAACTCTCCAATTTCTTAAAATAAATGCAATGGAATTAAATATGTGCTAACTTTTTTGTGTTTTTAGTATAAAAATGAGTGAATAAATGGAATTAGACTAAAGATGACATGATGAGGCCTCTTAAGATTGGTCAGGTAACTATCCTAATTCAAACCAATATAGGAGTCAATGATACAATTAGATTGGATTAATGTACCTCATTCTTTTTAAATTAATGCTTAACCTAGAAAATAATCACATGGAAGTTCACTTCATCATATCATTAAAACACTTAACATGTATGATAACATAATAACAAGCCAAGCATAGGCACAACTATATTCATATATAAAAATTAAGTAGTTAAACTTTTTAGTATGGCTGAATACCCAAAAAAAGGTGAATTGGGTGTTAGATAAGATTTAAAAACTTTTTCACAGTGCAAAGAAAGTAATAAGAAACTTTGATTATAAAAACAATAAACAACAAAGTTCAAACAAATATATAAAAAGGATTAGCTCGAATTATAAAGTGGCAAAGGAAGAGTGTTAGAATTAATGTTTTGATAATGGCAAAAGAGTATTTGAAAGTTAAAAATATTTTCAGTATCAAAATTCCTCTATTCAAAGTTTTCAAAGGGTATTATTCAAAGTTTTATTCAAATAAGGAAATTATTGCCAAAAGGTTGAATTAGTCAAGTCCTTATTTGAGTAAAATGGTTTTCTGGTCTAAGAACTTTGTTATTTGAGTGATATTTTCTCTTAGATTTTGATTTATTCAAATACACTCTCTTTAGGAACCTAACTTTATTATTTTGATCAAATACAAGTTTTAATTACTCGATGACTCATTTGAATAATATTCAAAGTTTATTAAAAGCCTATTTATTCAAAATGTTATTGGAATAACTTTGCAATTTTATCTAATATCTGACTCCAAGTCAAGTTGCAAAAGCTTAATCTTTAAGTGTTTCAGTGTTCAAGATTTTCTTTCACATTTATTCGAATAAAGCCTCGAGTCAATTTTTGCCAAAAGTCTTATTCTAATTTTTGTTTGAGTAATTGTTCTGAAAACCTTTAAAGTTCAGATTCTGTTTGTTAGTCAAGTGCTTATTCGAATAAAATGGTTACTCGAATACCTCTTCAAGTCAAATTTGAAACTAAGTATTGAAACCTTCCAGAACATGGAACATGTCTTCAAAGCTTTCATACAACTTTATTCGAGTACCATTTTCAAGTCAACTTTGTCACACTTTTTATTCTAAGTAGTATTCAAATAAATGGTTCAAGGTATCATTAATAGAAATGCTTTTTTTCGATATCCTATTTGAGTCAAACACTTTTGCATTTAAATTTGAAATATCTTTCAAATAAGTGTTGAAGCTTTTAAAAGTTTTTCTTCTAAGTACTCGAATACTTATTCGAGACATTCAGTTTAAACAAGATTGATTTCAAAGCTACATCAAGTTAAGGGTGCTTGTCTATTTGAAAATCTAAACTAGTGCTTCAAGCCTTACTTGAATAAAATCTTTTTCCTTCTTTATTCCAAGAATAAAGTGCTAGTTGTTTCAAAGGTTCACTCATGTACGTGTTCAAGTCAAAGCTATAACTTTGTTTGTCAGATTTATTCTTTGATTCAATTACAATAATTAATCTTTGGGTCTCTCATATTAAAGCTTCCTAACTCTCTCTCTCTCTCTCTCTCTCTCACACACACACACACACACATATCTGTTCTTAAACAATTCATTCCTTGTCATGAAGCTTGTTAATTGCAAAATTAAGGCTCAAAAGAAAAATGACATGAAGGATTGACTTTTTGCTAGGAGGATTAAATGCACCCAATTGTTGCAATCTATGCTATTCTACTTCAACGAATACAAAGCCATTGAGTCTAACAGATATATTTGGAGATCAACTATAAATAGAGCAAGCATTCAATAAAGTGAACAACAACTCGAACTACCACGCGCTGCAAAATTCATTATTCACATTTATTGCTTTGTTTTTCTAATTTATTCATTGTGCTTTAGTAATTATTTATTACAGTCTGTGAGAGAGATTCATAATCACTCATTATTCAATCTTTGAGTTACTCAAGATCATGGGAATATTGAGTATATTATAACTTTATGGTAAGTAAGAGAGAGTAATTGAGAGATTACAATTGTTGTACTAGGCACCAAGAGCCTATTTAATCTTTGAGATTATAGTAGAATACTCAAAGATGTTCTGAGAACTAGATATAGGTTAAATGGTAGACTCAACTAGTATAAATTGTGTTGTGCTCTTCCTTTGGTGATATTGTTCTAACTCTACTCTCATTTCAATTCCTTTTATTCAAGAAACTTTTAAATTTTTAATTATCACCTAATTCACCCCTTGTTAGGTGATCTTCTTATCTAATAAAGATAAGATGTAAAATGCGATTTATCCTAGTTCGATATCTTCACAGACCTACATCTAGTTTTCAAAACATTTCTGAGATTTTCAATCTACTATATTCCTCAAGTTTGACATGGGTACTTTAAAACCACTATAACCACCTCAACACCGAAGACA